TCTTCCTCTGAGCACCAGCTTTCTATTGGTTCAAACACAGAGGTGGGGGACTGACTTTTTCTAATTACTAAAGAGACATCATCATCAAAGCTTTTTCATAAAATATGAGTTGCAACTTTTTGTCTGTTTTCCCAAAATACTTTAAAATAAAACATTAACTGGTTAACCAAATGAAAACAAAATAAAACAAACAAACAAACAAACAAAACAAAACAAAGAAAGTTCAAATATCCTCTATTCTCAGTGATCTGTAGTTTGGTTGATGAACAAATCCATGTCCATGTAGTGGACGTCCCCCTCAGTGAGAGAGGCAGATATGAGCTGAAACACAGGAATCAAACCAGGGACGCTGCTGTTATGGAGCTGAACTGGAACCATTCAGACACTGAGGCCCTCTGAACACATTTTAATTACTCAGCTGTGCAGAGACACACTGATGACTGACTGGAACACTATGATTCACATTTTACATTAACACCATCCTCACACATGTTCATATATGGCCACTAGAGGGAGATGTTGGACTTTAAACACTAACATGGAAACAAGCAAATCATCAATGATGCTTTTATATCTTTTTGATGTTCTTTTTAATCTTTTAAATTGTTTAAGCAGTTAAAACTGTCAACTTCCTGGCCAACTAACACTTATGCTTCTGTTGGTATTTTTCGAATGCAATAATCCTATTAATAACAATAATTTTATAACGGTATGTATACAAAATGCGACACTTCCTGTGAATATGTAATAAAAGGGCAGAGCAACTGAATCTGATGAGTTCCAGGCCTTAGAAACATAGTTGAGTTGAAGCAGCATGGACAGTGTATCAGAGGCTGCAATGTCATGGATTTTCACTGTTTGACTTTTAAAGGGTCAAAGGTCAAACCTAAGACTGAAAATCCATGTTCACTTTCTGATTTGTTTTTGTTTCCCCAGTTAAAACATTTATGTTGTGTTGAAATCACAGAGGATATCCTAGAGTAAAGCATTAGAGCAGGAACATCACTTAAATTTATTCACAGAAGCTTTAAAGCAGATTTCGACTCAGCCAACAATCCTCCATCTTCTTTCTTTTATACAGTTAGGTCCAAATCAGACAGAGAGAACATTTTTTTGGTTCTTTACATTACTCCAATTAATTTAAAATGAAACAACTCAGATGAAGTTGAAGTGCAAATTTTCAGTTTTCATTTAGTGGGTTGAATGAAAAGATGCATAAAAATGTGAGGAACTAATGCATTTTTAACATAATCCCTTAATTTTAGGGTCTCAAAAGTAATTGGACAAATTAAATAACTGAAAATAATATGTTCATTCCTAATACTTGCTTGAAAACCCTTTTCTGACAACAACAGCTTTGAAGTCTTGATCTCATCGACATCACCAGATGTTGGGTTTCCTTCTTTTTAAAACTCTGTCTGGTCTTTACTGCAGCGACTTTCAGTTGCTGTTTGTTTGTGGGC